CCCCAAAACCCCAAAACCCCAAAACCCCATAAGGTAAATCTAAAAGGAAAATTAAAATCATGAATTAGTATTCAGTATTTAATTACTTAGTTTGTATATTGAAAAATATGATCGTTTAAAAAATCTAAAATTGTTTGTTAAGTTGTTTAAACAATAATCAAGGTAAATTAAGTTTCAACTGTTTCTCATTAAGGAGTCTGCTATTACTAAGTAGGAGGAACATAGTATTACTATTAATGAGTTTCCTAAGCTTGGAGGTTTGAGTTTTAATCAAATTGATTCTGAATTGGCAACTGATTTGTTTATTAGAAATCACTGTTAGGATATGCTTAGGTCATCGGAGGATAACTCATAGGAGGGTATTACATCTACTGTTGTTGCAAATTTTAATCAACTACTGGATAACCACCTTACAACTAGGTTTGGCCTTCTTATGGATAGCCATTTATTGGGTTATATTATTACTATTGAGGAGGTTATGTGCCATCATGAGTAGGAGGCACGTAGAATTATTGCTGTTGATGCACTTAGTGAGCTTAATGATGGTGCGAATGAGAATGATGAGAGCTATGTGAATGGAAACTATGATTAAAAGGTTCATGTACACCATGATGATAGCGTCTTTTTATATATCTAAAAATGGCAAAGCAGCATCCACAGCAAGATAATAATATCATGATGAGAATGATAACATCTACAGCATCCAAGCCCTTTGGGGCAATTCTCTAGCAAAATGTGTCACTCTTGCATTCACCCTTTACACAGCAGAATTAACAAGTCTTATTATTACATAATACATCACTTGAATCTGAGTATCCATAATGTTAGTTATAATATCCTCCTATTATGATGACTGAGGGGCCTCCTCCATAATAATTGTTATAGCTGCTTCTGTACCCTGAATAACCAAAATAGCTTTTAGATGATGAATATCTACCAAAGCTACTTCCTCTATAGGAACTCTTTAAGTTTTACTGATCATCAACTCCATTCAATCTTTCTGCTCCTTCACTTTAGGAGCTTGAATTTTCTTTATAACTATATTATCTATAAGTGCTTCTAGTAGAGTTCTTTCTGGAATACCTTTGTTTAGAGTTGTTTCTTGCTGTCGTATTTGCTTCCATACCATTTTGCAAGCTATCATCAACTAGATTTGGTGTAGCTGTACTATCTATAAGACTTAATTCTGATTATAGAGAGTCTTCAAGTAGCTGAGTTTAAGCCAATTGCAGAATGCTATTGCTGTCACTTATTGTCATCACATCCTCAGCTATTTAAGAAGATGATAATATCAACAAGGACGATGAAACTAAAATTAGTGCAGTAGTAAATAAGATATGGCTTCTCATCTTAAATTATTTTAATTACTTAAACAATCACCTATTTAAAATTATCTAACAATTATCAAAGTACAGTTGTTCCTGGGGTTTTGGGGTTTTGGGGTTTTGGGG